TTTTTTTTTTTTTTTTTTTGTCAGTTGTGGGACCTGAACTCTGGGTCTGGGCGCTGTCCCTGAGCCCTTCAGTTCAAGGCTAGCGCTCTACCACTTGAGCCACAGTGCCACTTCCGGCTTTTTTCTTTTTGCTTATGTGGTGCTGAGGAATCGAACCCAGGGCCTCAGGCATGCAAGGCAAGTGCTCTACCACTGAGCCACCTTCCCAGCCCCTCTTTTTTTTGGGGGGGGGGGTGTCCAGTCATGGGGCCTGAACTCTGGGCCTGGGCGCTGTCCCTCAGCTCTTCAGTTCAAGGCTAGCGCTCTACCACTTGAGCCACAGTGCCACTTCCAGCTTTTTTCTTTTTTCTTATGTGGTGCTGAGGAATCAAACCCAGGGCCTCATACATACAAGGCAAGCACTCTACCACTGAGCCACCTTCCCAGCTCATCGAGATGCTTTCTTTTTTTTATTTTTATTGTGAAAATACTGTACAGAGGGGTTACAATTACATGGGCAAGATAACGAGTACATTTCTTATTAAGCATTGTAGCCTCCTCCTTTGTTTCCCCTTCCCATCCCTGCCCAGCCCCCCCCCTCCCTACCCAATCCTCCCTTCCCCCCCCCCCCAATGATTTCTTTAATGGTGGAAATTTTTTAAATTTCTCACTAACAGTAAGAACAGACATCATGATTTGTGCATGAGTTGTTTTGCACCCTCTAATAGATACCTTTAAGGTTCTATACCAAGTACCTTATTTGGAAATAGGGTACAGATGAGGCCATACTGGATTTTGTGGACCACTAATCCACAACAACCAGAATTTTCACAATAAAGGGACCACATGAAGAGACAACTGGAGGTATGGTTTAAGTTGTAAAGTGCTTACCTAGTAAGCACAGGACCCATCTGCTATGAGTGAGCAGCTCTCCTTAGGCACAGGCCTCCAGTGTTACATAGTGCTGCTGTCACAAAACAACAGTCCAGGGACTATAGACTGGAACCTCAGAAACTATGAGTCAAAATAGACAAAACCTTCCCCAAAAGACAGACAAAGGTAGAGAATGCCATTATTCCATGCAAGCCAACAATCCTTTTTGTATGTACATATATACATACCCTATGGTGTCCCTGGAGAAGAACCCTAATTCTCAAAATAGTAACAAAGGGGTTATAAAGAGGACTTTGAATGTGTGTGTGTGTGTGTGTGTGTGTGTGTGTGTGTGTGTGTGTGTTTTGTTTGGGTGCTAGGTCGTGAGCTCTCAGTAGGCTTTTGTTTTTGTTTTTCCCTCGTGGCTAGCACAATACTACTTTTGCTACATTTCCAGTCAGTATTTTTGCTAATTAATTGGATATAGAGTCTCTCGGACTTTTCTGCTGACACATCTTTTCTTTTTTTTCTCTTTTGTCAGTTGTGCTGTCTCTGAGCCTCTTTGTACTTAAGGCTAGGGTTCTACCACTTGAGCCACAGTGCCACTTCTGGTTTTTAAGTGGTTAATTGGACATAAGAATCTCATGGGGACTCTGCCTGGGCTGGCTTCAAACCGAGATCATCAGATCTCAGCCTGAGAAGCTAGGGTTACAGGTGTGAGCCATTAGCAACTGGCTTTTACTTTTGTTTTTAAATTTGAGTGATTACCTAGGTATGTTCAAATTTAAAAAAATTCAAGTTATACTACTTATAACGGATGAAATTTTTGTTCATTTTATTGTTATTGTTTTTGTCAGTTGTGTGGCTTGAACTCTGGGCCTAGGCGCTGTCCCTCAGCTCTTCAGCTCAAGGTGAGTACTCTACCACTTGAGCTGTGGCACCACTTCCAGCTTTTTCTGCTTATGTGGTGCTGAGGAATCGAACCCATGGCCGCAATGCAATGCAATGCAAGCACTCTATCACTGAGCCAATTTCCCAGACCATTTTTGTTCATATGTTATTCAATAAATGTACTTCTGCAAAAGTGTTAAATGATGGCAATTCAAATGAATGTCAGTTGTACAATTAATTTTACATATTGTTAAAAAATTGGCAAAACAATGTTATATCATTTTAGTTAACTGCCTATGAGTCAAAGAGTAAGTATTAGGAGGAGTACAACTGGAGTTCCTGACATACTGACAATGTTGAACAAAGCGATGTTTCTTGAACGAAGTGATGTTTTCACAAATCCTGCTTTTGCGAAACTTATGGAACTATACTTTTGTGGTTTGTGTGCTTGTTAATGTCACTTTTTTTTCTTTATGTCCATCGTGGGGCTAGAACTCAGGGTCTGGGTGCTGACCCTGAGCTTTTTTTTTTTTTGGGGGGGGGGTCCGGTCGTGGGGCCTGGGCCTGGGCGCTATCCCTCAGTTCTTCAGCTCAAGGCTAGCGCTCTACTACTTGAGCCACAGCGCCACTTCCAGCTTTTGTTCTTTTTGCTTATGTGGTGCTGAGAAATCGAACTCCAGGGCCTCAGGCATGCAAGGCAAGCGCTCTACCACTGAGCCACCTTCCCAGCCTCTGAGCTTTTTTGATCAAAGATAGCACTCTACCAATTTGAGCTGTAGTGCTACTTTTTTTCTTTTCTTTTCTTAGGGTGCTGGTACTGGCACTTGAACTCAGTGCTGTCCCTTAGCTTTTTCACTGAAGGTAGTGTTCTACTACTTGAGCTTCAGCTCTACTTCAATTTTTGGTAGTTAATTGGACATTGAGTCTCAAGGACTTTTCTGTGCTGGCTGGCTTAGATTAGGACATGAGGCTTTGGTGCAAGACTCACAGTTTCAATTTTTTTTTTTTTTGTCCTGGGGCCTGAACTCTGGGTCTGGACCCTCAGCTCTTCAGCTCAAGGCTAGCGCTCTACCACTTGAGCCACAGTGCCACTTCCAGCTTTTTCTGCCTATATGGTGCTGAGGAATCAAACTCAGGGCCTTGTGCATGCAAGGCAAGCAAGCATTCTATCACTGTGCCATGCTCCCTCCCCCTCAACTTTTGTTTTGGGAAGAAGAAAAGCCATGGTAGAAAAATTAAAGGTAGGAAACATTCTGTCTTTTTTTTTTGGTCCAGTTGTGGGGCCTGAACTCTGGGCCTGGACGCTGTCCCTCAGTTCTTCAGCTCAAGGCTAGCACTCTACCCACTTGAGCCACAGCGCCACTTCTGGCTTTTTTTCTTTTTGCTTATGTGCTGCTGAGGAATCGAACCCAGGGCCTCATGCATGCAAGGCAAGTGCTCTACCACTGAGCCACCTTCCCAGTCCCCTATCTTTTCTTTTCATCCTTGCCTATTAGGTTCTAGGTGATGGATCTCTCCAAAGCTCTCCCTAAACAAGAGGGCCATTAGCACCCATATGGAAGACAGCACTATTGCCTGGTTATATTGCATAAACAGAGGAAGTCTCCAGAAGAAGGACCCTCTGGGGCTTCTTTCAGCTTTATTAGGGAATGTTACAGGGGCTTTATGAACTCGGGGTCTCACAGGCACTCTACTACCCCATCCATATTTTGCTTGTTATTTTGTAATTTTGCCTTGGCCAGCATTGGACCACAATCTTCCTCCATTTGCCTTCCATGTAGCTGGCATTACAATACCACCATGGAATTGATTGTTGCTTGAGATAGGGGTGAGGTGTCTTACTATTGTTTTTCCTGAGCTGCTTTTGAACTGTGAATCTTTCAATCTCTGTCTCTGGACTAGCTGGGATTACAGGTGTTTGATTTTTTGTTGTTGTGGCTAAGTTAAAAGTTCCTTGTACATTCTGGTAATTAATCCAATTAGATATATGATTCTTAAGAATTTTCTCCTACTGCAAAGGTTACCTTTCATTCTTGGTTTATTGTTTTGAAATGCAGGTGTTATGGCATACACACACACACACACACACACACACACACACACACACATCTTTGTGGTGGTGGTTCAACTCAGGGCTTTGTAACTGTTTTTTTTTTTTTTTTTTTGGTCTGAGCACTGTCCCTGAGCTTTTTGTGCTCAAAGCAACAGTCTACCACTTGATCCACAGCTCCTCTTCCAGCTTTTTGGTGGTTAACTGGAGGTAAGCGTCTCATGGAGTTCCTGCTTAGGCTGGATTCCAACCATGATCCTCACATGTCAGCCTTCTGAGTTAACTAGGATTACAGACATGAGCCACTGACACCTGGCAGTACCGTCATTTTTTAAATTTAAATTTTGCATTTTGTCGGTCGTGGGGCTTGAACTCTGGGCCTGGGCACTGTCCCTCAGCTCTTCAGCTCAAGCTAGCGGTCTACCACTTGAGCCACGGTGCCATTCCCAGTTTTCTGGTGGTTTATTGGAGATAAGAGTCTCCCGGACTTTCCTGTCTGGATTGGCTTGGAACTGAGATCCTCAAATCTCATCCTCCCCACTAGCTATAATTATAGGAATGAGCCACTGGCACCTGGGAGATTTCTTTACCTTTTTTTTTTTTTTTTTTTGGGTCCGGTTGTGGGGCCTGAACTCTGGGCCTGGGCGCTGTCCCTCAGCTCTTCAGCTCAAGGCTAGCACTCTACCACTTGAGCCACAACACCACTTCCAGCTTTTTTCTTTTTGCTTATGTGGTGCTGAGGAATCGAACCCAGGGCCTCATGCATGCAAGGCAAGCGCTCTACCACTGAGCCATCTTCCCAGCCCCTAGATATCTTTACTTTTTAAAGAACAACAATCTTGTGTTTTTCTTTTTCTGGGGTAGTAGTAGTGGCTGGAACTAGACTTAAACTGCCAATCCTCTCATCTCTGCCTCCTGTGCAGCTAGGATTAGATGTGTGCCACCACACAAAGCAAACTTTTTTTTTTTTGGGTCCGGTCATGGGCCTGAACTCTGGGCCTGGGTGCTGTCCCTCAGCTCTTCAGCTCAAGGCTAGCACTCTACCACTTGAGCCATAGCACCACTTCCAGCTTTTTCCTTTTTGCTAATGTGGTGCTAAGGAATCGAACCCAGGGCCTCATGCATGCAAGGCAAGCACTCTACCCCTGAGCCACCTTCCCAGTCCCACAAAGCAAACTTTTAAATAAGACAACATGTCAATTTCACAAACATTAAAAAGTTAGTATATTTAACCATATTCAGCTCATAATAGAGCCAATGAGTGAAGAGAATAATAATCATGCTGATTATTGAACTGGTATGAACTGGCAATGGAGAAAGTTGGTCCAAGGAAGGTGGTAGAACTGTGTCTCCTAAGAATTAGAATCGTGGGGCTCCATAATCATCTGGCATCCGCTCGATGTTGTATCTGGTCAGAAGAGAAAATTTGCACTGGTAAGAAAGGTGGGTACAGAAACTATTTAAAAACTGATCCTCTACTGATCATACCACTCTTACTACCTTCCAAGTAGTAATTCTTTTTGCCAGTGCGAACATTTTAGAGGGACCTCATAAGGAATGAATCATAGCAAAATGCTATCTGTAATTTATTGTCTTTACTCATCAGGCACAAAGTTAGCCAAGTGGGGGAGCCAGGAAATCCAGGTATCTTTGACCGAAAAGGTTACCTAGACTTAAAATAATGCTTTGTTTTTAAAGCAACGCATCTATTTCTTTTAGTAATCTTATAACAATTTGATGGTCCATTATTCTTTATTTTCTTTTGTCGGTTGTGGGGCTTGAACTCTGGGCTTGGGCGTTGTCCCTGTGCTCTTCAGCTCAAGGCAAGCACTCCACCGCTTGAGCCACAGCGCCACTTCTGGTTTTCTAGTTGTTTATTGGAGATTAGAGTCTCACTGACTTTCCTGCCCGAGGCGGCGGCTTTGAATCGTGATCCTCAGATCTCAACCTCCTGAGTAACTAGGATTACAGGCATGAGCCACTGGCGCCTGGCTTGGTCCATTATTCTTTTTTTTTTTGCTTATGTGATACTAAGGAATTGAACCCAGGGCCTCAGGTGTGCAAGGCAAGCACTCTACCACTGAGCCACCTTCCCAGCCCCTTGGTCCATTATTCTTAAAACCTATCTTCATCCTCTACCTCTGTTCTTGCTACCTTGTCTCATTCCTTCAACTCTAACCTTATAAATATTTGAAACAGTAATTTTTTTGAGATTCTTTTATTTTAATTTAATTCTTATTTTTTTGTGCCTGGCCTGGTGCTTGAACTCAGGGTCTGGGCATTGTCCCTGAGCTTCTTTTGCTCAAGGCTAACACTTTACCATGTGAGCTACAACTCCACTTGTTACTTTTTTTTTGGTAGTTTAATGAAGTGCGGGCTGGCTTTGAACTGCAATCCTCAGATATTAGCCTCTTAGCTAGAATTACAGGCATAAGCCATCAGTACCTGGCTTTGAAATCCTTTTTATAGCTTTGTAATTTTGGCATTTTTATTTTTGACAGATCCCACTTTTTATTGACAAACTATATACTTCTAGTCAGTTTCCCAATTTCCCAAATTATGCCTCCGCATAATTTTTTACCTATGATTAGAAATGTACATGATAGGAACTCCAGGGATCTTCCGGATTCTTCTTTTAAGGTCACGGTCAACTGTAGCCACGATGTAACACTTGTGCTGAAAGAGAGATTCAATGATTACATCTAGTTCTGAGTATATATATATATTTTTTTTTGGGGGGGGGTCCAGTCGTGCGGCCTGAACTCTGGACCTGGGTGCTGTACCTCAGCATTTCAGCTCAAGGCTAGCACTCTACCACTTAAGTCACAGCGCCACTTCCGGCTTTTTTTCTTTTTGCTTATGTGTTGCTGAGGAATCAAACCCAGGGCCTCATGCATGCAAGGCAAGCACTCTACCACTGAGCCACCTTCCCAGCCCTGAGTATATTTTTTTGTTTGTTTGTTTGTTTTTTTGGGACCGGTCATGGGGCCTGAACTCTGGGCCTGGGCGCTGTCCCTCAGCTCTTCAGCTCAAGGCTAGCACTCTACCACTTGAGCCGCAACACCACTTCTGGCTTTTTTCTTTTTGCTTATGTGGTGTTGAGGAATCGAACCCAGGGCCTCAGGCATGCAAGGCAAGCACTCTACCACTGAGCCACCTTCCCAGCCCTGAGTATATATTTTTTTTTAATGACTTCTGGAAATGACACTTCTACTACAGAGGAATGTGTATTGATGAATGAATATTTTATTCATTTCATAGTAACTAGCACAAGGAAGACTGCAAAATTTGTGGAGTAGCTACTATGGGTAATGAACTCTTATTTGTGAAATAAAGAACAAGTTGCTTGGGCTGAATGTGGTTGATTCTAAGAATTTTGAAAGGAACAAGATAAAACTTACTAAGTGAACTAGGCACCAGTAGCTCATACCTCTAACCCTAGCTACTCAGAAGGCTGAGATCTGAGGATTGCAGTTCAAAACCAACTCTAGCAGCAAAGTCTATAAGACACTTATCTAGCAAAAAAATCTGGAAGTGGGGCTGGGAAGGTGGCTCAGTGGTAGAGCGCTAGGTGCTATCCCTCAGCTCTTCAGCTCAAAGCAAGTACTCTACCACTTGAGCCACAGTGCCACTTTTGGTTTTCTGAGTGGTTTATTGGAGATAAAGAGTCTTACGGACTTTCCAGCCCAAGCTGGCTTTGAACCACAGATCCTCAGATCTCAGCCTCCTTGAGTAAGCTAGGATTACAGGCGAGAGCCACCAGCGCTCGGCTGTTTTTTTTTTTGGGGTCCAGCCAGGGTCTAAACTCAGGGCCTGGGCTCTGTCCTCAGCTCTTCAGCTCAAGGCTAGTATTCTACCACTTGAGCCACAGCGCCACTTCCGGCTTTTTTTTTCCTGCTTATGTGGTTCTGAGGAATCGAATCCAGGGCCTCATGCATGCAAGGCAAGCGCTCTACCACTGAACCACCTTCCCAGCCCCCAGTTGGTTTTTTTTAATTTTTTTTTTTTTTTTGCTGGTCCTGGAGCGTGAGCTTAGGGCATGTGTTTCTTTTGCTTAAGGCTATCACTTGAGTCACAGCTCTACTTTGGCTTTGTTTTGGGTGGTTAATTGGAGATAAGAGTCTCTCAGCCTTTCCAGCTGGGTTCAAACCACAATCCTCAGATCTCAGCCTATTGAACAGCTAGGATTACTAGTGTGAGCCACTGGCTCCCCGCAGCATTGAGTTCTATAAAAAGTTATAATGTGGCAACTGTGCTATGGGAAATTAAGGGAAATGCTGGCCCCATCCATGGAATAAGTGGCTAAAGGTCAAAGTGGTAATCGGATGAATGTCATGGTGATTATCATCTAGGAGAAGTGAACTCTCTTTTCCCTTCCACTTGCCTCCCCTTCTGTCTTTCTGTCTTTCCTTTTTTTTTTTTTTTGTAGGGATGGAGAGACAATACTAGTGACTAGTGATCAAACTCCAGGCTTGGTAATGCTAGGTAAGTGTTCAACATTGAGTTAAATCTCCAATCTGGGAGAGGTCCTTATAAAAGCAATCAATAGCAGCTCTTGTGTTTGACAAGGGTCAGAATGGAAGAATTCAAAACATACTTATCCTATGGTATGTGTGAGACAAAACCCTGAGAAATTCTCAGATGTGGCTGAAAAACATTGTAGAGAGGGGACAACATTCCTGTGAGGAGGAAATGCACCTTATTTTATTCTGTCTTTTTTTTTTTTTTGGTCCAGTTGTGGTCCCTGAACTCTTGGCCTGGGCGTTGTCCCTCAGCTCTTCAGCTCAAGGCTAGCACTCTACCACTTGAGCCACAGCGCCACTTCTGGCTTTTTTTTTTTTTTTTGCTTATATGGTGCTGAGGAATCTAACCCAGGGCCTCAGGCATGCAAGGCAAGCGCTCTACCACTGAGCCACCTTCCCAGCCCCAATCTGTCATATTATTATACCTACATTAGTCCATACAAATCATTTTACAGAGATTTGGGGGATAAAGAATCTGTCCCAAGTCACATACCAAGTCAGTGCAGGTATTGAGATTTGAAAGCATGTTCTCCTTTCATTATAGTTGGAGTATATGTTTTCAATCCATTCTCTCAAGTAAATGAAAATGTCTATGCTTGTTATGAAAAGTTGCTATACAGTCCTTTTTATTTTACCATTTATATTCCTAAATATTTTACTGACCATGACCTTTCAAGCGATAAGCTTGCCTTAGGGAAAAAAAAAAGCAGCCACATGCCGGTGGCTCACCCCTGTAATCATAGCTACTCAGGAGGCTGAGATCTGAGGATCACAGTTCAAAGTCCGGAGACTCTTTATCTCCAATAAACTACCAGAAAACTAGAAGTGGCACTGTGGCTCAAGTGGTAGAACACTTTCCTTGAGCTGAAGAGCTCAGGGACAGTGACAGTGCCCAGGCCCTATGACCTACCGAAAATACAATAAAATAAATAAACTAAAAAAAAAAAAAAAAAAGACGGCACTGCCAGGTGCCTGTGGCTCATGTCTATAACCCTAGTTACTCAGATGGCTGACATCTGAGGATCATGTTTGGAAGCCAGCTTAAGCAAGGCCGTCCATGAGACTCTTACCTCTAGCTAACCACCAAAAAGCTGGAAAAGGAGCTATGGATCAAGTGGTAGACTGCTAGCCCTGAGTACCAAAAGCTCAGGAACAATGTCAAAGCCTTCAGATTAAGCCCCAGGACTGGCACAAAAATATAAAATAAAGATGATACCTGAGTTACTCTTTGAACTAAGCAGTCATCTGCATAGGTTCCTTTGTGTGTGCATGGTAATCGTTCAAATCGTGGATCCTTGGCGATTCTGTGGGATTATAACAGTGTATTAAAGAAAATGTTCAAACAATAGATAACTTCCTTCAACAAATCTGTAAAGCAAACATAACCTGATTATCTGGAGATTTTTCAGCTTGCTGACTGATGACTGCTATGCTTAGGGCCAATGACTCAGCACAAAACTCTGAAATTCTATTTTCCATAAAAGAAAGCAGGTCCCAACATTAATTTGCTCAAATCTTCACAGCAGGGAAAAGCCAGGATGAAAATCCAAATTAGTCTTGACCCAACCACATCACTTTTGGGAAGTTGTCTTACACAAATGTAGTGGAAGGACAGGCTAGGGTTGGTCATTACCACACAGTTTATGGTACTGAAAAACTGAAGGTAATCAAAACATCCATCAACAAGGTAAAAGATAAATGTGTTTTGGTGTCCCATCCTATTAAAAAATCCCAACAAGGTAGTGGTTGCACCAACAGTGGTACAAAGGCATTGGCTGGCATGTCCCTGGGCTAGAGAGCAGGACGTCTGGCTTTGGAGCTGTTATCCTTCTTGCAATAGCAACAAATGAACGAATTTAAAATGGGTGATGTTGAGAAAGACAAGAAGATTTCTGTTCATAAGTGTGCCCAGTGCCACCCCACTGAAAAAGGAGGCAAGCACAAGACTGGGCCTAATCTCCATGGTCTGTTTGGTTGGAAGACAGGTCAAGCTGCCAGATTCACTTAGATACCAACAAGAATAAAGGCATCACCTGGGAAGAGGATACACTCATGGAGTATTTGGAGAATCCCAAAAAGTGCATCCCTGCAACAAAAATGATCTTCTCTGGCATTAAGAAGGGAAATAGGGGGCTGGGAAGGTGGCTCAGTGGTAGAGCGCTTGCCTTGCATGCATGAGGCTCTGGGTTCAATTCTGCAGCAGAAAAAAGCCGGAAGAGGCGCTGTGGCTCAAGAGGTAGAGCGCTAGCCTTGAGCTGAAGAGCTGAAGGACAGCGCCCAAGCCCAGAGTTCAGGCTCCACGACCGGACCCAACAAAAAAAAAAAAAAGAAAAAAAGAAAAAATAAACCCCTCTCTGATACTTCCTCTAGGTTTGCTAGTCTGTACAGAAAAACAGTAAAAATTTTTACTTGTTATTTCTGGATAGGAATAAACAGGCAAAGTAAAAATATAGAGGACTTTCAGTTTTTATTACTTATATTTTTTAAATTGTCATGAAAAATTTAATTGTATTATTTTAATATAAAATTGAAAAGCCAAAATTACTCCCACATGCATGTTCTTTCTATTGCACAATGATGATGCTAGACTGAAACAAATAAAAACACAGCGCAGCACTGAGACACTGAGTGCAACAGAATGCTCCCTTATTGCAGGGACTGGGTGTAAGGTCCATGTGGGTTGTGTGAATTTAGAAAAAGGACATGGAGGTAAAATGAAGATGAAAAAACTGTACTCCCACTAAATAAACACAAGTAACCTTTTATTTCCTTGCCTGTCCAGCTAACATTGTATTTCTTTTCCCCTTCATAGCCAAAGCTGGTGTCTGTTTTTCCTGCTCATCCTTTGTTTTTAATTAAAAATTTGCCTTTCCTCCTTTTAGTTAAAAGTATTTCAGATATATATAAAAGGGTAAAGAATGATGAACACCTGTGTCTACCCTCAGAAAACGTTTCATTAAGAAATGAAACATAGGGGCTGGGAAGGTGGCTCAGTGGTAGAGCACTTGCCTTGCATGCCTGAGGCCCTGGGTTCAATTCCTCAGCACCACATAAGAAAAAAGAAAAAAGCCGGAAGTGGCGCTGTGGCTCAAGTGGTAGAGCGCTAGCCTTCAGCTGAAGAGCTGAGGGACAGCGCTCAGGCCCAGAGTTCAGGCCCTACAACCGGACCCAAAATAAAAAAAAAAAAAAAAAAGAAATAGTGGGCTCACACCTGTAGTCCTAGCTACTCAGGAAGCTGAGATCTGAGAACTGTGGTTCAAAGCCAGCTCATGCAGGAACGTCTGTGAGACTCTTTTTTTTTTTGGTCGGTTATGGGACCTGAACTTGGTCTGAGCACTGTCCCTGAGCTTTTTTTCCTCAAGGCTAGCACTTTACCACTTGAGCCACAGTGCCACTTCTGGCCTTTTCTGTTTATGTGGTACTGAGGAATCGAACCTAGGGCTTCATGTATGCTAGGCAACCACTCTACCACTAGGCCACATTACCAGCCCATCTGTGAGACTCCAACAAACTACTCAGAAAAAGCCTGAAATGGCACTGTGGCTTAAGCGGTAGAGTGCTAGACTTATGCACAAAAAGGCTCAGAGATAGCATGTAGGCTGCCCCAGGACCAGCAAAAAAAAAAAAAAAGGGAGAAGGAGGAAGAGGAGGAGGAGAAGGAGCAGGAGGAATAGGAACATAAGGCTCCAGTGGCTTACACCTGTAATCCTCAGGAGGCTGAGATATGAGAATCAAGATCCAAAACCCAGTCCAGAAAGGGAAGTTTGTGAGACTCTTATCTCCAACCAACCACCAAAAAGCCAGAAGTACTGTAGCTAGCCTTGATCAAAAAGCTTTGGGACAGTGCCCAGGCCGAGTTCAAGCCTCAGGACGGGTACCAAAACAAAAGAAATAAAGAAATAAAATACTGCCAGGCCCAGGTGGCTGGTGCCTGTAATCCTTGTTACTCAAGAGCCTGAGTTCTGAGGATCGTGGTTTAAAGCCAGTTTGGGAAGCAAAGTCTATGAGACTCTTATCTCTAACCTGCAGAAGTGGAGGTGTGGATCAACTGGAAAGCACCAGAGGGAAAATGCTCAGGCCCTGAGTTAGCCCTAGTACCAGTGTGCATGTGTATGGTGAGTGCCCGTGCACACGTGTACACACACACACACACAGAAATGAAACATGCCAAGTGTTGGTGGTGGTTCATTCTGTAATCTTAGTTACTCAGGAGGCTGAAATGCAGAGGGCAGTGTTTTGAGGTCAGTGCAGTCAGAAAAGTCAGAGACTCTACCTCCAAATTAATCATGGACTTGGAGCCATGGCTTAGGAGAGAGAGAACAGCTAAAAAGGAAGCCAAGTAAGTGTGAGGCCTTGAGTTCAAGCCTTAGTATCCCTTAGTATCAGGTTGGGGAGGTGGGGGAGGAAGAGATGAAGGGAAGGAGAGACAAAAAAAACCAACAAAAACATTTTAGGAGCTGGGCACTGGTAGATCATACCTATAATCCTAGCTACTCAGGAGGCTGAGATCTGAGGATCATAGTTCAAAGCCAGCTTGGGCAGAAAAGTCTGTGAGACTCCTATCTCCAATTAACCACCAGAATACCAGAAGTAGTCCTGTGGCTCAAGCGGTAGAGAGCTTGCCTTGAACTGAGAGACAGTGCCTAGGCCCAGAGTTCAAGGCCCATAACTGACAAAAAAAAAAATAACTAAAAAGAAATATATATTAGGGGCTGGGTATGGTGGCTTATACCTAAAATCCCAGCTACTCTAGAGGTGAAGGTATGGTACCTGGCCAGCCTGGGAAAAAAGAGAGCTGGCCTGGGTAGAAAAGTCCATGAGACTCTTATCTCCAATTAATCAGCAAAAAGCCAGAAAGTAGAAGTGTGGCTTAAGTGGTAGAAAGCCAGACGAGCAAAAAGCTGAAGGACAGAACCTAGACTCCAAGTTTAACACCACTCCCCCTGGGGGAAAAAAAACAGTAAGATGCTATCTAACCAGTAAGCTGGTCATACTGGCATACAAGGAGGCATAAGCAGGATTGTGTTCTAGCCTGGGCAAAAACATGAAACTCTATTAAAATATAACTAAAGCAAAAAGAAGCATCACTCAGTGTAGAGTACCTAACTAGCAAGTACAAAGACCTCAATTCAAACCCAAGTGCTATCTTCCCCCAATGAAATATTACAAATAAAAAATAAAGTACCGGGGCTGGGAAGGTGGCTCAGTGGTAGAGCGCTTGCCTTGCATGCCTGAGGCCCTGGGTTCGATTCCTCAGCACCACATAAGAAAAAAGCCGGAAGTGGCGCTGTGGCTCAAGTGGTAGAGTGCTAGCCTTGAGCTGAAGAGCTGAGGGACAGTACCCAGGCCCAGAGTTCAGGCCCCATGACCGGACCCCCAAAAAAATAAATAAAATAAAATAAAGTACCCTCTCTGGGCTTAATCTCTTTTCCTTCTCCACAAGTAAATATTATAAAAAATTAAGTGTTTTATCATTCTGACACACATTTTTCTACATAGGTAGGATTTCATATTAGCTATATCTCTCTATATAATACATATATATAGTATATATATTACTATATAAATACTTAAAAATAATGTATTGATTTGCATATTTTCATTTAATTGTTTTATTTTGTACTAGTATGGGGGCTTGAACTCTATCTCATGCTCTTGCTTAGCTTTTTTGCTCAAGATGGGCACTCATTAATTGGATATAAGTCTCATGGATCTTTGAACCACGATCCTCAGATCTCAGCCTCCTGAGTAGCTAGGATTACAGGTGAGAATCACCAGTGCCTAGCAATTTGCATGTTTTTAAACTGCAGATATATGGATCGTGCCATGCATATTTTCATCCTTTTCTCTGTGAAGGGTGGGGAGGAGACAGGTTTGGCCAGGAGTTTGGACTAAGAGCCTCATGCTTACTAGGCAGTTACTCTTCCACTGAGGCACATTTCCAGTTCTGTCTTTTCTTGGTTATTTTTGAGATGGGTCTCACTTCCTGCTTGCATGAATACCTTGACTGATCCATCTACTTTAGGCTTCTGATTGTTGCTGGGATGGAGCTTTGCAAATTTGGTTTATAACATTGATTCTCCCCAAATCAGCCTCGCCTCTCACGTAAAAATTTCTGAACTTCAAATATCAGCTTTTTGAATCACAAAATTCATTTGATTTTTATTTTACCTAGTAGGCTAAAAAAAAACTTTGGACACTAAAGATGAAGGAGGACCAAAACAATCATCAATATAACAACCTAGAATAAACTTAGACTAGCTATTCTTACCTTAGAGCCACTCGATACTTCTGCCCCAATTTCTCAATTTCAGCCATTACACAGTCAGTTATACAAGGGATACCTGAGAGAAAAAAGAAAAAAAAGCACAAAAAATTAGTAACAGCACTTGTGAAGAAATCTTCTGAATCTCCTATTGTCTTTAAGAGACCAGTAGACTTATGGAATGACAGCAGAATAACACTATAATAAACAGAAAGGACTAGAAGAAACCTATTTACAAAGAAGCTGAGAAACTGTCCTAACTCCACATCCAGACTTCGACAACTATCTGTCAAAAGTTAAATCACATCCAGTCATTATTTTTATAAGTTCTAGATGGAAAATTTTAAATGAGAGCCAGAAGAAAGCATGAATTTTTAAAATTGTTAAACAGAAAGCTACAATAGAATAAAAATAAAGCAGGTAAAATTCTTTACGCATTTGTCAAAGGGATAATTTTTTTTTACTGTATAAAGCTTACAGTAGCTTATGATAATATATTATATACCAGACACTTTATAAGAATAACTTCACTTACTTCACCAGATGGCATTGTTGCCTTAATTATCATCATCCTCATTTTATAATGAGAAACCTGAAAGTTACATCACTGCATAAAAAATGGTGAAGTTGGAGCCAGGCACTGGTGGCTCATGCCTATAATCCTAGCTACTCAAGAGGCTAAGATCTGAGAATCGCAGTTCTAAACCAGTCCAGGTAGGAAAGTCTGTGAGACTTTGATCTCCAGTTAAATACCAAGAAAAAAAAAAAAAGCTGGAATTGGAGCTATGTCTCAATGGTAGAGCATCTATCCTTGAGCAGAAAAGCTCAGGCACAGCACAGTCCAAGTTCCAGTACCGGCACCAAACAGAAGGAAAAGAAAAGAAAAGAAAAGAAAGGAAGGAAGGAAAGAAGGAAGGAAGGAAGGAAGAGGAAGAGAGAGAGGAAAAGAGAGAGGGAGAGAGAGGGAGAGAGAGAGGGAGGGAGAGAGAGAGAGAGAGAGAGAGAGAGAGAGAGAGAGAGAGAGGGAGGGAGGGAGGGAAGGAGGGAGGGAAAAAGCAAAGAAGTAGAGGAGTGGCTCAAGTGGCAGAACACCACTTGAGCAAAATAGCCTTTTAGTTCAAGGCCCAGTACCAACAAAAGTAAGTAAAATAAAATAAGCAAAATAATAAAAAAAATACTGATACATGGCTGGGGTACTGGTAGTGCTTACCTGTAAACCTAGCTACTTAAGGATAAGATTTGAATAGCCAGGTGCTGGTGGCTCACGCCTGTAATCCTAGCTACTCAGGAGGCTGAGATCTGATGATTGTAGTTCAAAGCCAGCTCAGGCATGAAAGTCCGTGAGACTCTTATCTCCAATAAACCACCAGAAAACCGGAAGTGGCGCTGTGGCTCAAGTGGTAAGAGTGCTGGCCTTGATCTGAAGAGCGCAGGGACAGCACCCAAGCCTAGAGTTCAAGCCTCACGACCGACAAAAAAAAAAAAAAAAAAGGCTAGGATTTGAGAATCTGTGTTCAAAGTCAGCCTGTATGTATGTCTATAAACTCTTATTTCTGATTAACCACCAAAAAGCTGGAGGTGGAGGTGTACCTCAAGGGATAGAACACCAACTTTAATTAAGCAAAAGAGCTCAGTGAAAAGTGTGAGGACTAGAGTTCAGCCCTAGTACTGACATTAACACACTAAAATACTCATATACGCTAACAACAGGGATTATCTTGAAAGATCATAATACATAAAGGAAGACAAAGATTGATTTTTATAAAATGTCCAGAATAACCAGATCTAGACCAGAGGGGCAGAAGCAGATCTGTGTCACTCAGGAGGAAGTTTGGGGGTTGGGTATAGGCTAGAAAGGGTTGAGTAGCTAAAGGATTTGGGGTCTCATAGCAATAAAAATGTTCTAAAATTGTAGTAATGAATTGATTCATAAGCTGTGTGAATATGCTAAAAGCCATTAAGTTGTACACTTTAAGTACATAAATAATATCTGAATAAGTTGTTTTGTAAAAAAAGAAAAACAATGCTTTTTGTTGTTGGTGGTCATGGGGCTTGAACTCTGCTTTTTGTTGTTGGTGGTCATGGGGCTTGAACTCAGGTTCTGGGCACTGTCCCTGAACTCTTCTTGCTCAAGGCTAGCGCTCTACCACTATAGCCACAACTCCACTTCCTGCTTTCTGGTGCTTAGAGAAGAGTCTCTTGGGAACTTTTTTGCCAGGGCTGGCTTTGAATTATGATCCTCAGATCTCTGCCTGCTGAGTAGCTAGGATTACAGGCGTGAGCCAGCAACACCCAGCTCATTTTATTAATAAATAAAAATAACCTCTAATTCACACAGATTAAATATGAACTTTTTGAAATGCCCTTTTCTAAGGAAAAGCATTATAGGAACCTTTCTGTATTTATACTAAAATTTAAAAATTAGTAACACTTTATGTGTGTGTGTGTGTGTGCACATGAATGCACGCGCACATTGTTATCAAGACTTGAACTCAGGGCCTTGAGCTCTTGCTCTGCTTTTTTTGCACAGATGGTGCTCTACCACTTGAGCCACACCTCTAGTCCAGCTTTTCTGCTGGTTAACTGGAGAGTCTTTTTTTTTTGGTTGGTTGCAGGGTTTGAACATTCAGCCTGGGCACTGTCCCTCAGCTCTTCAGCTAAAGGTGAGCGCTCTACCACTTGAGCCACAGCACCACTTCTGATCTTCTGGTGGTTAATTGGAGATGAGTCACAGAACTGGGACATTCCTGCCTGGGAACCATGATCCTCAGATCTCAGCTTCCTGAGTAGACAGGCCATTGGTGCCTGGCTTTAGAAAGTCCTTCTACTGACAAGGAAACTAAGTCAACAGGACTCTAAGCAGAAGAAGACGCCAACTAGATTCTATTTGGTTTATTAGGTAGAAAAGAAAGAGAACACTGGGCAGGTTCACTTGTGTAAACCTATAATCTTAACAACTTTGGAAGCAAAGACTGGGGATTGCAGTTCAAGGCTAGCTGGGCATCAAGGTTCACAATTAATTCATTTGTTATTAATGTTATGTAAGTCTAACTTTCACTTATAACTTTAAATGGGTTAAAAAATAAATATAAACAAAATTTGTTAAATTGAAAACTGTTACTGGTAAATTGTATACTGATGTGTAAACTACTTCAGACCCTTCATTTATTCATTGGCACAAATAAACACCATCTGAATAAACTTAGAAATTGACCATTTTCAAACTTATAGATATGTGATTAAAAAATGGCAAAATGTCCTATTTAGCTTTTGCATACTGGAATAAAATGGACAATGTATTCTCCTTAATACAATAGAATATACAGACATACTGAAAAGAATACAGATTTTCACACACATTTTTTTGGTGTGCTAATGCTGGGGCTTGAACTCAGGCCTGGGTGCTGTCCCTTGGTTTTTTCACTCAAGGCTAGCAAGCTACCACTTAGGCCACAGCTCCACTTTAGGTTATTTGTTGGTTAACTGGAAATAAAAATCTCATAAACTTTCCTGCCCAAGCTGGTTTTGAACTGTGATGATCCTCAGACTTCTGAGTACCTAGATTTACAGGCATGAACCACTGGCACCCAGCATCAGAAATTGTAAATCCTGAATTCTAATAAGAAAAGTCCCCCTTTTTGTGTCAAAAATTCATATCTATAACGATAGTCAAAGGACTGTTTACTGAATTGTGAGAATTTAATTAACTCCTAGTCAAGTCTGCATTATATATCAAGTAATTGAAAGTTACCAGAGTTACGACAGTTCCAGTTAAAAGGCTAGCAATTCATTTATTAAGAAGCTCACGTGGAGCTGGGCTCCGGTGGCTCACACCTGTAATCCTAGCTACTCAGGAGGCTGAGATCCTAGGATCATGGGTCAAAGCCAGCCTAGGCAGGAAAGTCCGTGAAACTCTTATCTCCAATAAACTACTCGGAAAACTGGAAGTGGTGCTGTGGCTCAAGTAGTAGAGTACTAGCCTTGAGCTGAAGAGCTCAGGGACAGCGTCCAGAACCAGAGTTCAAGCCCCATGACTGACCAAAAAAAAAAAAAAAAAGAACCTCACATGGACTCATTTATTTTTTCTTTCATATATTTGGATAAATAGGATTATTCCTTACAGATGTTACAGAATCATAAAAGGATGATACTCACACTTGGCATACAGACAGTCCATCATTGACTGTACTAAGTCCAGTTTGGCTTTAATGGAAAAGTTGATAAAGTTGGTATCAACCAGGATGTGGTAAGGTGGGCCCAGTTGTGTATTATATTGGAAAAATAAGCAGGAAGGATGTTGGGGGCTAAAGAAAAAAGAAAATAAGAACAAAATTAGGATTAAATTGACACTTTGGTATCAATTAAAACAAAATGAAAAAAAGGAATCTCTGCTCCAGATAATTTACTATACACAAAACACCTTTTCAGCCAGGCACAGATGATTCTTGCATATAATCCTAATTCCTCACAAGGCTGAGGTCTGAGGATCCCAGTTCAAAGCCAGTCAGGGAAGTAAAGTCCACAAGACTTTTATCTCCAGCTAACTACCCAAAGGTTGTTAAGTGGAGTTGTGGCTCAAGTGGTAGAGCATTAGCCATGAGCAAAAAAACAGCTGAGAGCTGGCATTCAGGCCCTGAGTTCAATTACAAAAAACAAACAAACAAACATACATACAAACAAAAAACCTGAAATACCTTTCCCCTTGTTCATTGGGAATAAATCTTAAAAAAGAAGGTAAAGAAAAAAACAACAGCATATCTTATCTCATATCATTAGCATGCTTGTCACAACTTTTATTTTTATTTTATTTTATTTTTTTTGGGTCCAGTCATGGAGCCTGAACTCTGGGCCAGGGCACTGTCCCTCAGCTCTTCAGCTCAAGGCTAGCACTCTACCACTTGAGCCACAACACCACTTCCGGCTTTTTTCTTTTTGCTTATGTGGTGCTGAGGAATGGAACCCAGGGCCTCATGCATGCAAGGCAAGCGCTCTACCACTGAGCCACCTTCCCAGCCCCTTGTCACAACTTTTAAAATGCAGTGACCCTCTGGTGCCCTCCATCTTGTATGTACATTTTTCTAATTTGGGGAGGGGAAGGGAAATAACAAAATGCGGAAATAAGGATCCAGGTTGACCCATTGTAACAATGAGATGTACAATGAAAATGAACTTTATAACTTTGGGGGGAGGGGAGGAGTTGGGGAGGTGAGGAGGAAAGAGATAGTAGGGGAAAAACAAAGGAGGGGGTAAGGATACTCGATAGGAAATGTACTCATTACTTACTCATGTAACTGTAACCCCTCTATATAGTATCTTTACAATAAAAAATATATATTAAAAATAATAAAATGCAATGATCCAACTTAGTTTTCCCTCTATGTGGAGGATAGCCATGTGTACAAAGAAGAAGAATATATTTTTTTTTTTTGCCAGTCATGGGACTTGAACTCAGGGCCTGGGCTTCGTCCCTGAGCTCTTGGGCTCAAGGATAGTACTCTACCACGTTGATCCATGGTGCCACTTCTGGTTTTCTAGTGGTTAATTGGAGATAAGAGTCTCATGGACTTTTTTGCCTGGGCTGGCTCTGATTTGAGATCCTCAGATCTCAGCCTTCTGAGTAGCTAGGATTATAAACATGAGCCACTGGCAAAGAATATAGTTCTTTGAGTAGAATAATACTAAGTTTGTCATTTTCATAGGATCCTAAATTCCTGTAAAAATGTGATTTGGAGAAGAGTTTACAAAAGGATAGGATTATGTGTTACACAATCCTACAACAAAACCTGTTTCTCATTTAAAAGTTAATGATCTGCAAATTCTAGTTCATGGCCAGCATCCACCTGTGATAATATAGCCACTAGCAATGCAGGCCATAATGAGAACAAGGAAAATGTGTCAGGTTCAAGTATGATTTTTGTTGTTGTTGGTATGAAGGGTTTAACTACTAGTGACATAATAGCTAAATATATTGATTTTAAAAGAATGTCCTTGTTGGTTCCTGGTGGCTCACACATGTAATCTCAGGAGGTTGGGATCTAGAGGATCATGGTTTGAAGTCAGCCTGGACAGTAAGTCTGGGAGATTCCAACTTCAAAATAAACAGAATAAAAACTGATTTGGAGGCGAGGCTCAGTGAGGGCTCACCAAACAGGAGACCGTGAGTATAACCTCCAATACTGGCTAATAAACAAATGAACAAATAAATAAATAGCTATTTTTAAATGACCTCCATTCTGAAAAATATATTCTTACTTTTCTGGTGGGTGATACAGTATGTCTTTTTTAAAAAGTCGGGATGATAAGCAGCAGCAATTAAAAAAATATTTTTTTCCATCCCAACTGTTTGTGTGTGTGCCAGTCCTGGGACTTGAATTCAGGGCCTTAGTCTTTTATCTTCTTTTGTTCAAGGCTAGAGTTCTACTACTTGAGCCAGAGCACAACTTGCAGCTTTTTTCTGAGTAGTTTATAGTAGAGATAAAGTCCCATGGGACTTTCCTGCCCGAGCTGGCTTTGAACAGCAATGCTTAAACCTCAGCTTCCTGAATATGTAGGATTATAAGCATGAGCCACCAACACCCAGCTGTCTTTCTTAGTCTTGAAATTACCTTTAAGGAGTTGTACAAAAGAGTTTCAATTCAACATGTCAGATTATGAGTACAATATATCTGACCATTATCACCCTTTCCATCATTCTCCTCATCCCCCCCTTCATCTTCTCAAGTTACTGGTCCTATTTTCACATATGTATATTGAATATTTAACTGTTTTCTTGCACTCTTCCTTTTTCCTTTTGTCTGTCCCCACCTTGATCTCCCCCACAAAAACAAAAGAAAAACAAAAACCATGTTTAAATTTTCTGGTATTCATTTCAATTAAAAGATTCTGGGCAAACAATAAAATAATCAGATTATATCTGCAGAGGGTTTTTGTTTTTGTTGTCTATACCAGTCATGGGGCTTGAACTCAGGGTCTAGGCATTGTCCCTGAGCTTTTGTGCTTAAGGCTAGAACTCTATCACTTGAGTAACAGCTTAAGTAGTGATTAATTGGAGGTAAGCGTCTAATGGACTTTCCTGCCTGAGCTGGTTTCAAACTGCAATCCTCAGATCTCAGGCTTCTGAATCCCTAGGATTACAGGTGTGAGGTGCTGGCACCCACCATATCCCCAGAGTTTTAAGAGAAAGTTTACTGCTCCAGGAAATCTAAAACCTATAAAAGCATTAGCATTATATTGTGTTGGTTAATAACAAAATTTCACCTGTATAATTACTAACAAACACCTGAGCATATCAGCTCAGGGAAAGCCTGGATTCCTGAAAGGTCCATGGCTTTACTTTAGGCATGTCTTTTCTAGTTTTAATGGAAAACTTAAACGTTTTGTTTACTCACACTTCTCTTTCCTTCAGTGCAGTGGGATCCTTCTTTTCTTTCTTTTTAGGCTTTAACCTATCCTTTTCTTTACTGAAAAAAAAGTAAATTAAATTCAGGGAAGAAGAAATCAAAGTATTTATAATATTTTTTAAATTATTGGTGTATGGTGGGGGAAATTTATAGTTATATTTCTACATGTTTACAATATATTCCAATCTCTAATTACTCCCTTCCCTCTTTCTCCCCTTCTGAAATATTTTCAACAAGTTTCAATGTTCTATTTCCATAAATGCAAAATATCTTCTTGGACTATGTTCTCCCTTCATCATCCTTATTAGCTCAACCTTCTTCCTTTAGCCCCTTTTCCCCACCAAATCATTTTCTCTTTTTCCTCCTCCTCAATCCTCTACTGATAACAGGTTCCATTGAGTCTTTTCATGTTTTCACTTATAGTTGCAATGTATTTCAAAATTATTCATTCTTCCTTTTCCCTTCTTCCAGTAGTTATATTTGAAAGTTCCTTTTTTCCCCCCTCCAGTCCTGGGCCTTGAATACAGGGCCTGGGCACTGTCTCTGGGCTTCTTTTGCTCAAGGATAGAACTCTACCATTTGAGCCACAGCACCACTTCTGGCCTTTTCTGTTTACGTACTACTGAGGAATTGAACCCAGGGCTTCATGCATGTTAGGCAAGCACTCTACCACTAAGCTACATTCCCAGCCCTGGTGATAATGATGATTACACCTTTTCCCTAAATCAGAAGCTCTTCTAATCAAGGACCAAAATCCACCCTCCAGAAACTGATAATTACTTCTGAAGACTCAAATCAGACTCAAAATAGATACTATCAGTCCACTTCTCTACAGTGACCTGGATAAGATTTAGAAAATAGGGGCATCTGAGAGTTTTCCATCTCTCTTTCGAAAACAGCAGAAGTCAGGAGCCAGTGGCTCACTCCTAATTCTAGCTACTCCAGAGGCCGAGATCGTAGAAGTCAGCTGGGCAAACCTTCATGAATCACTTATCTCCAATTAATCACCAAAAAGCTGGAGGTGGAGCTGTGGTACAATTGGGAGGGTGCTAGCTTTGAGAAAAAAAAATGTTCAGAGACAGAGTCCAGGCCTGGCACACGCACACAAACCCCGCCGCCCCAAAACTGCCTGTCATTACTGGAGAAACAAGCCTGATGTGTGACACCGTTTTTCGACAATGACATTTCCCCCCCCTAAGGAATGTGATAGTGTAACAATGTGAAGATAAAGACATTCACTTCTACTTCAAATAACTATTACGAGGCTTAAATGTGATAGATCGGTGTGAGGTGTTTAATTCCCATCGTTTGAATGTTAAACATTTGACTACTATCCTATGCAATATAAATCCAAGACACAATAACAATGTAAGGAAAACCAAAGTAACAAGAACTTTTACTACTTATCCCCTCGTGACTCCTGAATTTCTGGGTATTCTAAGAACCTAGTTGATTCCGGACACTCACAGTCTCTCATCCCTCAGACTGAGCATTCTTTTCATGGTCGCATACTTCCTCGTTTTCTTTTGCTTTCCCTTGAAACAGAAATTTTAGAATTAAATGAGTTGGAAATACATCTCTTAAAAGTTCCTTTTTCCCCCTCTCGTACATTCCCTTTCCTTTCTCTCAAGCGCTTCTCCTTAGTCCCCCAAACACAGGCTCCGTTAGAAGTTTAAGACCTAATGAACATAAACACAGGAATTTCGTTGTAGCGTTGAATCCCCACAAACCCGTCGCCGAAACGAGCCCAAACTATTCTCACCATGTTCTCGCCGCACTCTCGCCTCTTCCGGAATCACCGTCCGCGCGACCCTTTTACGTCACCCCTACGTTGTTTCCGGCAAAGGACAACCCGGAAGCGGAAGTCATCTTGGAGAACGGAAACGCCCCAAGCCGGCTCTCCACCCGGGCGGAGACACATCGCTGGGTGTTTCGTGGGGAAGGTTGAAGGCAGGTTTTGCGCTCGGCGCTTGCCGCTGTCTCCGGCGACCCCGGAGCCGGGACGCCGCCGCCGCCGCCGCCGCGCTGCCCCACCTAGCTTGGGTAACGTTTCTCTTCCTCCTTCCAGCCCCATGCTGAGCCCAGCGGACCCGCCTGCGCCGCCGAGTTCCGGGGAGGACCGGGGTGGGAGTGTGGGAATCCCGGGCTGCCCCGAGGGTCCGGGGAACTCGTTCCCGTTATCTTCCAGCGCGGGGGGCTTCAGGTCTCTTGTCATCCCGCCTTGAGGCTTTGGTCCCTTCTTGGTTTTTCTCGCGAGCATATTTGCGTCACGCAGAGCGGCGGAGGATGCTTAGCAGACCGCGTATTCCTCTCATTGACGAGAGGAATGAAGCAGCGCTCGAGGGCCTCTGGAGTCTCTGGTTAGAAAATTGAGGCACGGGCTTGCATATGTCACTGCTTACCAAGCCTGGAAAAGGTGGGCAACCACTGACATGGACTGTGAAGACCTGTTATGTCATTCTTAAGGGCAAAAGGAGGCTTGGGGAAAACAAGAGTTTCAGTTGTTCTCCCCACCCCATCCCCAGTACGTGCTGTGGACTCTTCGTGGTTCTTAACCTTTTGGAGAGGAGATCACTTGCACACCTTGAGGCTTTGTGGAAAGTTAGAGATACGTATATATGCACACACAAAACTTGTCATTCAATGTAGAAGACTAAGCCCATTAGTAGACCTCCCGGTGTCTGTAAACTTTACATTTACCTGCCTTGTATACTGCACTTAGCACTTCGTGTTACTTCGTTGAGGGGTCTAGTTGATCCCAAAGTCTGTAGCTTGTTGTTGTTCTGTGCTAGGATCCTAATGTATGAAAGTCAAATAAGTTATCAGGTTAAAAAACGAAAAAGTGATCATTGCCTGACCTCTCATAAGAATATGCATTGGTTAATGAATTTTGGAGTTTGACTGAAGTTAAAAATCTTAGCTCTGTGTCTTAATTATTAGATGAGTTCTTTGTCCTTCTGTGCCCTAGTCTTGCAGGGTTGTTTCCGCACTCAGGCTTTTTTTGGGGGGCGGAGGAAGGGAGACGGGTGCTAGTACTGGTGCTTGAATCCAGAGTGGTACACTGTCCCTTGACTTTTTCAAACAAGGATAGAGCTCTACCACTTGAGCCACAGCTCCACCTCCAAGAGATAAGAGTCTTGGGGGCTGGGAAGGTGGCTCAGTGGTAGAGTGCTTGCCTTGCATGCATGAGGCCCTGGGTTCCATTCCTCAGTGCCAAATAAGCAGAAAAGGCCGGAAGTGGTGCTGATGCTGTGGTTCAAGTGGTAGAGCTCTAGCCTTGAGCTGAAGAGCTGAGGGACAGGGCCCAGGTCCAGAGTTCAGGCCCACGACTGACCAAAAAAAAAAAAAAATCTTGAATTTGTCTGCCTAGTCTGCCTTTGAACCTAGTATCTTCAGATCTCAGCCTCCTGAGTAGCTAGGATTACCGTGTAAGCCACCAGAACTAGGGTAGGTTATGGTAATAATAGTTAAAATATGTAAGCCCCTAAAACAGAACCTACCAAAAATTCAGCTCTTGTAAGTGTTCTCTCTCTTTTATGGTGGAATTGAATTTTTTTTTCTTTTTTTGCGTCCAGTTGTGGGGCCTGAACTCTGGGCCTGGGTGCTGTCCCTCAGCTCTTCAGCTCAAGGCTAGTGCTCTACCACTTGAGCCACAGCGCCACTTCTGGCTTTTTTCTTTTTGCTTATGTGGTGCTGAGGAATCGAATCCAGGGCCTCATGCATGCAAGGCAAGCGCTCTACCACTGAGCCACCTTCCCAGCCTGGGGTTGAAATTTTATGCCAATAATTGGGCTATTATGAAACTTGAATGTTTTGCTAACCCCTCAAAGCTTTATAATTTTTTAGATTTTGAAAAGCTCAATAGGGCAATTTCTTGTGTTGTTTTGAATGCAAACCTAGTGTTCTTTCTGCTTTCTTTCCCTTTCTCATTTAAGCATGAGTGCATTTAGATAGCTTACATATCTTTAGACTCTGGAATTTTGACATTGTAATAATTTTATTATTGAAGTATCTACAAATTCTGTGTGCTTCTACTTTTCTCCATTTGAGATCACTAGAAGTTCCTAATCTTTTCAGAACAGCTCGTCTCTTGTCTTTGCTAAGCTGTCATTCATGGATAAAGCTAACAGCAATCGCTTAAAAAAAAGTATCACCTCTTGGTGGTTAGGCAATATTTTTAAATAAACATGACCAGATATTAATTTTTAAGCAAAGACTAATTAATACATACCTAAATTTCCATCTCCCCCTCCCCTCCTCGCAAGAAAATTACAAAGGATTACTTGTAAAATTGTAATTTACATTTAAATTCAGGCACTGCTGGAAAACCACTTTGTGGTTAGATGTTCCCTGAATTTTGGAATCCATGAATAAAACATTGGTTTTCAAAAGCAGTTTGAAGTTTCTATTTTGAGAATGTTCTGATTTCCTTGATTATTAATAATTGCTGGGAGCTAAGGTAGTGTAGGAACACTGTAGGAACACTGTAGGAGATGGGAACATAACTTAGAAAAATGTTTTGCTGCATTGTAACTTTATCATAATGAGATAATTTTTTGGGGCGGGGGGGGGGGGGGGGGGACGGTTGGTCCTGGAGCTTGAACTCAGAGCCTGGGCATTGTCCCTGAACTTCGTTTTGCTCAAGGCTAGCACTCTACCACTTTGAGCCACACTGCCACTCCTAGCTTTTTCTGTTTATGTGGTAGTGAGGACTCAAACCCAGGGCTTCAAAGTATGCTAGGTAAGCACTCTACCACATTCCCTCCTTCCTCCTCTCCTTCCCCTCCCTTCTTCCCCCTTTCTCTCTCGGTCTCTCACTTTCCCTCTCCTTCCCTCTCTCTCCCTTCCTCTCTCTTTCTCCTTTTCCTCTCTCCCAGTTCTAGAGCTTGAACTCAGGGCCTGGTTGCTGTCCCTTTGCTATTTGAGTTAAAGCTGGTACTTTACTGTTTGAGCCATACCTCTGCTTTCTCCTTTTTGATGACTGATTGGAGATAAGAGTCTCATTGACTTTACTGCCTTGTCTGGCTTTGAACCATTTTTGTCAGATCCCAGCCTCCAGAGTAAGTAGGATTACAGGTATGAGCTACCAGTGCCTGGCCAATCTGAGAGTGTACTTTAAAAGTACTCAGGTGTAGACTATCATTCTTTGATGAGTTTTGATTGAGTTGAATGAGAGCAAAAATAATTGCCTTCAGGTACGTTATGTGAAAAAGAAAGGATTTTAGTTCTCAGCAGTGAAGAGAGTTGTTGCTGCAGGCCTGAAGAAGAATCTCAAGACATTGGACCTACAGTTTAAAAGAATAATCAGGCTTAGACTTTACTCTGTTCAACAATTTCTGTAACTTAGTAATTTAAGTTGTTAAATGACTATAGATGATGAAAATATTCCTTAAAGAGCATCTTGTGGTTTAATGTATTTACAATCAAGCATTGTGGCTCATACCTGTAATCCTAGTACTCAAGAGATTCAAAGGATTTCAGTTTGAAGCCAGCCAGATGATGATGATGATGACGATGATGATGATGGTGGTGGTGGTGGTGGTGGTGGTGGTGGTGGTGGTGGGTGAGTATGTAATGCAATAGAAAATGGTAGTGCTGGGGCTGGGAAGGTGGCTCAGTGGTAGAGTGCTTGCCTTGCATGCATGAGGCCCTCGGTTCAATTCCACAGCACCACATAAGCAGAAAAAGCCAGAAGTGGGGGCTGAAGCTCAAGACATAGAGCGCTAGTCTACAGCTGAAGAGCTGAGGGACAGCGCCCAGGCCCAGAGTTCAGGACCCACGACTGACAAAAAAAGAAAAAAGAAAATGGTGGTGCCTGCCTGTCCAGTTATTGTGAGAAGAATAGGAGGATTGAATTTCAGGCTGGCCCCAGGTAAAATGTGAGACTATCTTAAAAATAACCAAATCAAGAAAGGCAGGAGGCATGACCGAACTGGTGGCATTTATCTAGTAAGTATGAGGCCCCAAGTTCAAACCCCAGTACCTGTAAAAAAGTGTTGTGGGTGAATTCACTTTTGTTTTCATAAAAGGAAACAAAATTAGAGGTATTTTATCCGCTTTCAAGTTACACTTTTACATTTATCTTTATAACTCATGATAGGACTTTTCCTCCAACTAATATTTATTGCTATGGTTTTTCAATTAACTTCGCTGCCTTCTGAATGTGGTAGCATGGTTGACAGCATGGTCTCCTAAATACTGACATTAAATAATTTCATAAGGACAACTCATTTATTGAGGGCTCATTTTGCCCTAGGCAATGTGTTATAATTGCTTTTCTAGAACTCAGTTCATATTAAAAAGATTTGCAAGCAGTTAAATTATGACAGGTTCAATAAAGGTAAAGGAATTGAAATATTTTAGAGCAATTACTCTACCTGTTCGTCTTTCTGGAAGCAGTTCAGCTCAGAGTATTGTAGTACAAATCAGCACATACCATATAACCATATTAAATTTTCTGACGTCAAGAAATTTTAGAATATCATTTTACCTTTAAATAGCTATCTACTTAGGTTTAAATTTTATTTGCTCCTTTAAAGACACATACTATGCTTAACTAGTTTATTTTTGTATAGTTTCAAACGTTTGAAGTGGTTTAGGCTTATTGCAGTGTGGAGTATGAGTGTGAACATACATACATGTGTGCATGCAGATTAGCTATAGCATTCATTTGAGTAATGTTTGCCTGTGAATCAACATCTGTTAATTGTATTTTCTATTCTTTGTCTTAGCTAGAGATCAGATAAAGGTAACTTAATAATATACAACATACACTTTCTGCAGTGTAGTAACAATGTAATCTAACAGTCTAACAGATTATATCCAGAGACTCAGCCCG